GCAGGGGTTGGACTAGATGGTCTTTAAGGTCTTCAAGGTCCCTTCTAACCCTTCTGTGATTCTGTGAATCGAGGTTCAGGTCTTACATCAAATATGCAATAACCTTTAGGTGATGCTCAACCCTCCCCTCCTATCCATCCCTCTATTTCTCTTCCCAGTCCTTAGCAGGAAGAACATCCTTGACCAGAAACTCTGCAAACAGAATCACAGAATGGTCTGAGTTGGAAGGGACCTTAAACTCCTTCCATCCTCTGCCATGGGAAGGGACACTTTCAGCTATCCCAGGCTGCTCCAAGCCCTGTCCAACCTGGTCTTGAACACTTCCAGGGATCCAGGGACAGCCACAGCTTCTCTGGGCAACCTGGACCAGGTGGATGCACACCCTGACCACCATAAAGCACCACCTCTGTCTCGTCATTATTATTTTAACTGGCCAAACCTGTGTGCCTGTGATACCTTTATGTGATTGTCCTCATTCCCCCGGTGCCAGACTGAGCCTGGTTTAACAGGTCAGTCCAGCACTGAATTTATGAGCAGCTTTAGCACCACACAGCCCTTTTCATCACTGTCTGAAGGTATTTCCTCTTGATCCAAAACATCCCGTGGCCTGCACTGATGCTGGAAAGGGTAGATGAGGGAGGACTTCTGAGTTTTAAGCATAGGCAGGTTAAAACACCCAAATACTGAGCTTGCTGCACACTTGCCCTGTCCTGGAGCTCTCTGCCTCTGCTGGAAGCAGCCAGCAGGAATATGGGAGATTCCCAGGCACAAATTTGGGAGCAAGAACTCTTACCTGCCTTGATCTTTGCAAATCAGAGCCCAAATTAAAGTGGACTGAGCTGCCTGGTGCCATTGAACAGCAACATGAGTGTGTGAGCAAATGATTGGGTCTTCAGGCCAGGGGAACCTTCCCAGTGCCTGAGGGGCTTGGAGGGAGCTTGAGGGGCAATGTTGAGGGCCCACATGGGGGAAAGCAAGGTTTAGAGGCCAATAGCTTGGTCAACTCACCACTTTACATTTGTAAAACATGAGGGGAAAAGGAATCTCCATGAGAGATCCTCCTTTTGTTGATGAGGGGCAGCTCCAACCTCTGCTCTCTGTGAGCAGGGACCAGGACCTGGGGGAACAGCTGGAGCTGGGCCAGGGGAGGGTTAGGCTGGATCTCAGGGAAAGGTTCTTCCCCCAGAGGGTGGTTGGGCACTGAACAGGCTCCCCAGGGCAGTGGGCACAGCCCCAAGGCTGCCAGAGCTCAAGGAGTGTTTGGACAATGCTCTGAGGGACAGGGTGGGATTGCTGGGGTGTCTGGGCAGGACCAGGAGTTGGACTGGATGGTCCTTGTGGATCCCTTCCAATTCAGGATACTCCAAGATTCTGCAAACTACAGGGAGGTAGGACCTGTCCCTGGAAGGGCTGGAGACACAGCCTTTGTTACCTGTTGATGCCTAATGAGGTTTCAGCACCTTCCTGGAAAGCACCAGTAATTCCTAGGGCTCATTTTCAGGCATTTTGTCGTCACACTGCACTGGTTCTTTCCTGGAAAACTGCACTTGGACAAACAAAGGCTGTTTGTGTACTCTAAATATCATGGCAGAATCCTCAGCCTCCCAAGGGCTGTAGGCAGGGGAAAATTCCAACCTGTCCTCTCTGAGCAGGTGACCACGGGCTGTTCAATGCCCTAAATGTGCCAGAAGGAAGTTTGAGCAGCCCCTCAGCTGCCACCAGCTTCAAACCAGTGAGATTAAACCCAGATTGAGAAATCCACACCAAGGGATGGAAACAACTGGCTGGTAGTAAATATAATAAATAAAATAATGTAATAAAATAAAATTGACAGACTGGGAGAGCTGGGGGTGTTCACCTGGAGAAGGATCCAGGGAGACCTGAGAGCCCCTTCCAGTGCCTAAAGGGGCTCCAGGAGAGATGGAGAGGGACATGGGACAAGGGCCTAGAGGGATAGTGGGGAATGGCTTCCCACTGCCAAAGGGCAGGGAGAGATGGGATATTGGGAAGGAATTCTTGGCTAGGAGGGTGGGGAGGCCCTGGTACAGGTTGTCCAGAGAAGCTGTGGCTGCCCCTGGATCCCTGGAAGTGTCCAAGACCAGGCTGGACAGGGCTTGGAGCAACCTGAGACAGTGGGAGGTGTCCCTGCCCATGGCAGGGGGTTGGAAGATGATCTTTACAGTCCTTCCAACCCAAACCATTGCATGATTCTCTAAGAGCATCCCAGGTTTTGAAAGCACTACAACCTCGTCATCTTCCACAACTGAAGCAACACCTCAGCCAGTGTCTATTTTAGAGCATATTATTCAGTTTCAATACTTTCCAATATTATTTTTTTTTCTTTTTAATTGCAAGTCCACCTTTGGGATTAGTGATTTTATTTGGGATATGATGGGATATTAAGAGGAGGCAGCCAGACTTTTTTTTTTTTTTTTCTTTCCTGGTCCAAGCCAGTATTCAGAAGGAATAGATTAAATCATTAAATACACACAAGCACACAGGAAACTCTCAGCCATTATCCTGTGAAGACAATGCCAATGCAAACACTGTAATAAAATATTCTTCACTGAAATCAACACTAATTTTCCCAGGCAATCAAATCCATCCCTGTGATCCCTCCTTCCCAGGGAAAACAGCCAGCACGGCTAAATCCAGATCTATGTGGCTCCATGCTTAAATTTGGCTCAGACACGCTGCAAATCAATGACTCCAGAAAGGTTTCCTAAGGAAAAACTCCCGATGGGCAATGTTTGCTGCAGCCCCCGGCACTGCTCCTGACACAGCAGCAAAGCCCAGGGAGCTGCATCGAGCCAGGGCTCCGGGAAGGCTGAAGAGTCACGTTACAGACTTGTGGAGGCCACCCTGAGCACTGTTTGGAGATGGCTGTGTGTGCCCAAGGGGAGCTCAGCCACGAGGGAACACCCCCCAAAAGGATGATGATCCACCAGCAGCCCAGAAACAGCATCAAGTGTTTCCCAGCCTCGTTTCCCGGCCAAGCCACAGAGGGAGAAGCCCAACAAGTCAATCCAGCACTGCCAAGGCCACCAGTAACCCACGTCCCCAGGTGCCACATCCACATGGCTTTTAAATTCCACTAGGGATGGGGACTCCACCACTGCCCTGGGCAGCTGGGCCAGGGCTGGACAACCCTTTTGGGGAAGAAATTATTCCCAATATCCAACCTGAAACCCCCCTGGGGAACTTAAGGCTATTTCCTCTTGTCCTTTCACTTGTTTCCTGGGAGAACAGAGAGATTTGGCTCCCCCCTCCTCTCAGGGAGCTGCAGAGAGCCAGAAGTTCCCCCTGAGCCTCCTTTTCTCCAAGCTGAGCCCCCCTGCTCCCTCAGCTGCTCCTGGGGCTCCAGACCCTTCCCCTGTCCAACACACCCAACCTTTTTACATCCAGACCCCCCAAGTCCTACAGAGCATCAAGGGGTGATGGTCCCTTAGCTGTGCTGCATCATCAAACTCATAAACAGCCAAGCACTTCCGTGACAAGAGGCTGAATCACTTCCTCCTTTCCATATCCATGGCACAGGATCAATTAACCTCTGCCTTGGCTTCTCCTGGGAATCACTTAAGAGGGGTAACAGTTAAACTACTTCATAGGAAGTGGTTTTAATAATGCTCTGCTCTGCATAAGATGAGTTTGCCACAGAGAAGGGGGAAAAAAAAAATCAAGCATGTTCAGCATCTTATAGATTAATCCCAGGCCTAGAGCCAGGATAATTACTGCCAGAAGGAATAAAAGTAACATAAATATAGGTTAACACACAAAGGGTCCCGTTTGCGAGGTTTTAACACATCACCAGCTCGCAGGCGGATTTGGAAATTTAATTATAGAAAGATTATAAAAGCAGGTGATACCCAAGGGGTGGTAAAAGAAATTTTACTACAGTGACAAGAAGAAAACGAAATAAATAAATTTAAAATAAACAAACAAACAAAAGAAATAAGGCAAACATTTTAAACGAAGTGGGGCATCGGATGGATCTCCCGAAGCCCTTCCGCAGGATCCAGCCCAGACGGCTGCGTGCGCAGCATCCGCCACAACCTCCCAGAAACGCCATCTCCAAGGGAGAGGAGATAAGTCACTCTGACAGCCTTGTGACCTTCCAGCACTGATTTGCTTAAAAACATCTTGGGTTTTTATAGGAGGTGCTCCTTGGTCTGGGTTAAAGCCTTTTTTAGGATGGAGGAGGACAATCCTGAACCTGTCTTTGCTATACCGGTGATGTGAAATCCCTAAAAATGCTGCCTCCTGTCAGGATTAATGGCACTTTTCTGCCAAGAACAGCTTTGGGGGAGGAGGATGGTTCTCTGCCCATGGCAGGGGTTGGAATGAGATGATCTTTAAGGCCCTTTCCAACCCAGGCCATTCTGTGATCCTGTGATTAAATGTCATTGGGGTGGATTTGAGCTCTGAGTGAGCTGCTGCCATTGAAGGAACTGGCTGTCCAAGCAACTCAGTATGGAAAAACAAGGATATTCTCTGCCATCCAGGCTACAGGAATATTTAAAACTCTCCGTCTTCTGTGAATGCTACACTCTTTTCTTTCAGTCAAATTAAATACTACTACAATGTGTGTATGAAATGAAGGAACAGGGAGAGAGGAGGATTCGCTTTTGGGATCTCTTGGGCTTACCACTAAAATAGACACACACTTAGAAACTGGAAATTTTAATTCTTGACCTATAAAACATATTTTTGTTGTATAAACTGTATTTCTGACCTATCCAGTACTTTCTACTCCAGAAGGCAGTTCCTGAAAGGTCCCTGGGAGCGATGTGGGTGCAAACCCAACACAGCCCTGACCAAGCTTTTGTCAGTCCAGCAAAACACTCTGTCATTTCTAAATGCATCATCTGGGGACTTAAAATAGCTCATGGGCTGAACTGCTCTGCTGCTCTGTTACCCTGATCCCTGGTGTGTGTGAGGAGGAAATGTTTGGAATGCTGAATACCTGTTAAAAAGGCACTTCAAAGGATCACAGACGAGGATTTTTTTCAGCCTTGAAAATACACATTTATTAAAAAGAAAACTTATGGGTTTACAAACATCATAAATAAAACGTAGTGCATTTTAAAAAAAAACCCTCAGGATTGATGATTAAACCTCTGGAAAATAGTTAACAGGAGCCTCCTCTTTGCCTTGCTCAGCATCAGTTCCGCACACGTGGCTCTTGTAATCCTGTTTCACACCAGTTGTTTCCGTCCAAGGTGGACACTACAAACCTTTCTTGTAGGTAAATATGTCCTACAGCTTGAAAACCTACACACAAAACACCCAGAGTTGTTTGCAAGAGGATGGTTTAAATATCTATCTATCTATATATATATATCTTGACTGAGCGTGTAGTGAGAATCTGAGATAGCACGGGGATAACGATCCATATGCCTTTGGAAGCCACATCCCACAAAGCAGGGACATTATGTACGTGGCACGGGGATGAAATGGGAGGCAGTAATGGAAATGCAAATTGAATCTCAGTATCAAGTGAGCAGCACTAAATCAGAGGCTGCACCACGAGGCCGCGGCGCAGACGGAGCCGTAAGAAGCCGAGTCCCCCGAGACGTGTAAAACTGGATTAGACATGAACTTCAAACCCAGCGTGATGTGGAATAATCCTATGCTGGCAGAAAGGGATCAAAGCTAATTTCTCTAACTTGCTTAATCTTCTGCAGAGATGTCTGAACTCGGGAGACGCACCAGGCTGGGAGTTAAAGCCCCGCTCTTTTAGAGGGTTCAGCAGGGGCTCAGTGAGAACAAAGCACGTTAAACATCCTGGAGAGCCGAGTTACTTCTGACAAGCTCTTACGGAATCACTGGATTCACAGGATGGTTTGGGTTGGAAGGGACCCAAAAGATCATTCAGTTCCAATGCCCCCTGCCATGGGCAGGGACACCTCCCACTAGCCCAGGTTGCTCCAACCTGGCTTTGGACACTTTCAGTGATGGGGCAGCCACAGCTTCTCTGGGCAACCTGTGCCAGGGCCTCCTCACCCTCCCAGGGAAGGTTTTCTTCTTAAAATCTCATCTAAATCTCCCCTCCTTCAGTTTAAAGCCATTTCCCTTGTGCTATCACTGCGTGCCCTTGTCAAAAGTCCCAGTTTCTTTCGTGGAAGCTTCTCTGCTAAAAGAAGCCTCATCTGGTCCATGAGGATATCACAGTTTCCATCCCACTCCTGAGATCAACTGAGCTTGAACAACTCGTTGGCCAAACCCTCCCACTTCCCTCTGCTGTTTTCTGTGGCAGCTCCTCTGGATCTTTTCCTGCCTGGGATGGTTTTATTTGCTCTGTGCACATTTATTTGTGTGTGGTTGGATATTGGGAAGAAAACCTTTCCTGAGAGGGTGGGGAGGCCCTGGCACAGGTTGTCCAGAGCAGCTGTGGCTGCCCCTGGATCCCTGGAAGTGTCCAAGGCCAGGTTGGATGGGGCTTGGAGCAACCTGGGATAATGGAAGATGACCCTGCCCATGGCAGGGGGTGGAATGAGATGAGCTTTAAAGTCTCTTCCAATACAAACCTTTACATGATCCTCTCACCTGGGTCAGCTCTGCTGACTTACAATTACAGCAACTTAAAATAACCCAAGCAAACAGCAACAAAAAATGAATCCTCTCCTTCCCAACATTTAATGAAACACATTGATCCAAGCACTGGAACATCTCACCACCCATAAAAACCTTTCAGACCTAAAAAAAAAAAAGAAGAAAAGAAAAAAATTAAATAAATAGTAATACTCAAATATTAACTAAACCATTTTCTATCAATTAAAGCTTAAATGGCGAAATAAAAATTGAAATAATGCTTTAGACCAACAGGAACTGAATTACTTGACCAAAACCTGCTTCTAAGTACAACAGGTGTACTTTTCCATGTGGTGTCCTCTCACATTCCTATTTATTAGTGGAGAAAATTCAGCAGAACTGAAGGAATACAGTACTTGCTTGACAAAATAAAAAATTCTAGAACTACTGGTCAGAGGGTTCACATCCAGGACGAGGTGTTGCATTTGAGCAACCTGGTCTAATGGAAGGTGTCCCTGCCCACAGCAGGGGACTGGAACTAGATGAGTTTTAAGCTCCTTTCCAACCTAAAACATTCTGGGATTCTATGGAATCAGTAAGCTTCCCTACTCCATGGCCAAGGCCATCCTGTGCAGCAGGAAGTTTTGCAGCTCTCAGTGGGATACTGTAGCTTATCACCCAGGGAATAAAATGCCAGAGGCACCAGAGGATGTTCAAGGACCCCTGATGGGGTGGGGGAGCTCATCCCACCAAAAGTCTGCTGTCTGAGGTGGGTATCCAGTCAAAGCTGGAATTAAAAGAAGGATTTCTAGGAGAGGACACATTGAGTGTTGTCAACTGAGAGGGAGCCAAGACAAGTAGCTCTGACCGGACACCTCCCTTAGAATCACTGAATCCTTAATGTTGGAAAAAAAACCTCTTGAGATCATCAAGTCCAACTGTCCCAGCACTGCCAAGACCACCCCTAAACCCAGTGCCACATCTCTGGAACACTTCCAGGGATGGTGGCTCCAGCCTGTTCCAATGCCTGAGCACCTCTGCAGCGAAGAGACAGGTAAATGAAGTCAGCTGGAATAAAAAAATCCCAGCAGGGTAAATTAACCATTCCAAAGGCTTTAAAAAATGTTGTGCAAGTGGGTAACAACAGATTGGCAACTCCACTTTGTACTGGGACAGGAATTGGGATATTCAGCTTGGGATGAGACATCCTTCCACGCTCAGTGCACCATTTGTGCTGCTGAAAGGATGCTGCTAACTGAGAAACCCAGGACTCCAGGAGAAATAGTCTGCTTTGAGGTGTAAATCAGCTCATCTAAAAATGATCCTGCTGGATAAAAAGCAAAAAAAATTAAGTACAAGGAGGCTCAATCACCTCAAATAACGATCAGCCATAAGTGGACACATTACACCACAGACATGGCTCTGCTCTGTTAAATATTAATTTAAATGGACACATTTAAAAAGACATGTACTTAAAATATGGATAAGCACTTCTGGTTAGAAGAGAGCAACTCCTGCCAGTGAGTAAGAAAGGAACAGCTCAGAGGAGAGCAGAATGAAGGATTTCATGCAAGAGCAGTCCAGGGATGAGAAAAATATATGGTACATATCCCCATATATGTATGTGCACTCAGTGCAGCTCTTCTAAATTAACTCCTTTCTTTAAAATCCTGAATTGCAAGCTCAGTAATGTGATATATTGCTGTCCTCCAGAACTGTAAGATTACTCAGCTTTAAAAGATTACTCTTGTGTGGAGTAACACTCTGCTAAAACACACACTCAAGCTGGAACGAGCCCGGATTTGGCTGCGACTCGGAGCAGGCAGCGTTAGAGGCACGAGTCTGGCACTTCAAAATGTGGAGAGACATCTCTCAAAAGCTTCACACACACCCCCTAAATAAACCCTCTGCCAAAACACAGCAAATACTCTCTGGTAATAGACCAATCTGTGAAGCCTTTTTTTTTTTTTTTTTTTTTCTTTTTTTTTTTTTTTGGTTCCTTTAAATTGCAGCTCAAGGAGCACTCGGGAAAGCTCCGATGCGAAATACCAGCCCCAGCACGTGCCTGCCTTGTGGCCTCCACTGGGGAGAATTTACAGGCAGATTTGGTGCATTTGCCAATTCTCTGCCTAGACAAAACTTTATTTCATTCTCAGTCATTTAATGACAACTCAAATCACATAAATGGTTTGGGTTGGAAGGGACCTTACAGCCCATCTCGTTCCACCCCCCCTGCCATGGGCAGGGACACCTTCCACTTCCAACCTGGCCTTGGACACTTTCAGGGATGTGAAATCCACAACTTCTCAGCAGTTTTTTTGCTTGGTAAAATTCCCCTCTGCTCTCAAAGCACTTTTTAGGGCATTACAGGATACACCACGGAAACCCCACAGAAAAGTAAAGAGGAGCTTTGCAGAGAAGCAGCAGCTGTGTCTGAAGACAAGCAGAGGAGTGAGAACACAACACGAGCCTTTCTTTTTCTCATTACCCTTTTGTTGGAAGTTTTCCAGCAACGTTGATCTCCTACAGCACCTTCTATGATGGGATCAGGTGACGTCAAAACAACCCCAATTCTGCCTTAACGCCTCCTTCTCTCTGGTTTAAGCTAAAAACAAAGACACACATGGGATGATTATGGAATGGCAGGCACAGGAAACTGAAAAGAATGGTTTGTTGGACTGGAAAATGATGGTGAAAATAAATAAATAAACAAACATAAATAAATAAATGAGACAAAAATGCTTCATCTTAAATGATGGATATAAGTATACACATTAAAATATATACATATATTGGAATACATGGCTTATAAAAAATATAATGGAAATTTATAGTATAAAATGGAATAGTAAGTGAATATATATGTTTATATATAGTATAGCATATACTATAATATAATATATAATGGAAATGTACAGCAAAATAGTACATATATTTATATATAATACATATATAATAGTATATATAATAGTGTATACATATATATATACACACACATATATATAATGGAAATACACGGTATCTTTCCAACACGTGATAGAAATGAATAAAAATTTGTTTACATGCTGCCACAGTGCACTCCTGATTTTTGGTCTCGGTCCCAAACAACCCATCTGGGGAGGGGGGAGGATTATCAGTGGCTTATTTGTCACCCTGAATTACCTGTGCTGTGCGTGTACACAAGCACCAGCTTAAACATTCAAAGGAATTGCCTCTAAGAAAAGTCATCTTTATTGGCATTGTCCCCAATTTCACGGCCAGGGCACCAACACAGCCCCCACTTTGAGGAATCCACACTGACACGACAAGAACTAATCCTATTATTTCCTTAAGGGCATCTGAATAGGCATTTTCCAAGTCCTGCTTCTTATTGTGAGTTTAACCCGTGTGTTAATTCTCTTACTGAGATCTCAAGCTGCTTTCTCTAGAATCGGGGATTTAAGGGAATCAAATCCCTTCTATTCAATTTCCTACTTAAGAGACAAACCTTTCAAAATTAAACTTTGCAGGCTGTTCGCCTTCAAAACATCGCTCCTCTTTCCCAAGGAAATATCTCTAAAGCCCGTTTTAAGCGCAGAGAAAAGAAGTTTTTTTAGCACATCTCAAGTTTAGACCTGACAGCAGTTTGGGCAGCTGCCCTGGAGTAAGAACCAGGATGGAAGAAATACAACATGGGAAAGATTTTCAGGTGACTTTGATGCCAGTTTGATGAGTGAAAAACCAATCAGAGCTTCATCAGAGTAAATTATTTCCTGTTGTAGTGATTCTCCTCTGACAAACAACAACCATGGAATGGTTTGGGTTGCGAGGGACCTGAAAGATCACCCACTTCCAACCCCCTGCCATGGGCAGGGACACCTTCCACTAGCCCAGGTTGCTCCAAGCCCCGTCCAACCCGGCCTTGGACACTTCCAGGGACAGACAGTCCACAATTTCTCTGGGCAACATTCAAAGGTGATCAAGTGGGAAAAGCTTTGGGCAAAACCTGACCCCTCATAGACACTTCACTCGGCTGAAGAAATTTTTGTGCTCAGGGGAGTTTTCTTTTCTGTAATCAAATATTAGAATACAAAGCCCCGTGAAAACAAACATCTTAGTCTACACACACTTTCTGTGCTTTCCAGCAAAGCCACAACAGCAGATTTGCTGTGGGTCTGCAGGACCTTATAGGTACAGCACATTAAATATTGATTAAAAATAAATCCAAATAATTAGGCCTCAATTTCAATACCCCGTGTACGTCTCCCTGCAATTCATCACGAGCGGCATCTTCTGAGGTTCCACGAGAGGCTCCGGGTTTAATTTTAATTATGCATTTATTACATAATTCACCAAATTCAGTAATGTGCAGTGAAGTCTCCCAGCCATTCAAGTGAGTAACGAGATTTATCAGCCCAGTTTGTCACACAACAAACGGGATTCAGAGCCTTCTAAAGGCGGGTGATGAAGGAGACACGGAGGGAGGGGAGAACCAGCGGCAGCTTTATTGCCATGTAATAATGCTAATAATATGCAAATAATTCCCCATGTTAATGAATGCTCCAGATGAATGGCACGTTCCAAATGGAGATGGCACGTGGAACGCTCGGGCTGAGAGAGGGAGCGCTGAGCTCAGCTGCTGGGAGAGCTCCAAGATCTTTTGGAGCCACGAGGTTACGACTGAGCATCCGTTTTTCATCCAGAGGGTGGCTGGGCTCTGAACAGGCTCCCCAGGGCAGTGGGCACAGCCCCAAGGCTGCCAGAGCTCAAGGAGTGTTTGGACAACACTCCCAGGGACAGGGTGGGATTGCTGGGGTGTCTGTGCAGGGACAGGAGTTGGACTGGATGATCCTTGTGGGTTCCTTCCAACTCGGGATATTCCATGAGTCCATGATCCCCACCTGCTCCCCTGTAGAAGGTATCTAAGAACTTCAAGCTCCTTACACGTGACAATCACATCAAAGTCACCTCAAAAATGTGCATGATTTCCAAAATACACAGGGATGCACACACATCTTCATCCAGCCTCTGGAAAACAGCTCTTTTGGAGCAGACAACATCCAAACCTCCAGTGGTCTGGGACTTGCTCTCTTGAATACTTCTTTTCAAAGCTGCATTTGGAAGTTTCTCCTGAATCCCTGCAATTATTTATTAGGAGAGTGAGCCTTGCTCTTCTTCAACAAACATTTTAATTAATTTTTTTACTGTTCCCAAACCCTTTCAGAAGGTATCACCTCCCTGGGACAAGCCAATGACACTGGATATTATAACAACCTTGAGCTGCCATGCTCTTCTCTTCCCCTACTATTTTATCCTCAAACACCTCCTAGGAACTCAAATATTTAAGTTTTAAGACTTGCAACCTGCCCACAAAGCAAAGCCATCCCCTGTCTGCACCATTCCTTCCCACGTTCTCACTTGAAACCCACTTTTGTCGTTCCTTCTCAGACACCCCATTCATTCACCTCCCACATCCACATGTGTCCTCTCTGATTTCCAGTCTATCTCCTCTCTCAACAAAGCCTTAGGAGGAACAGGAACCTTTCAGGGTGTCTCCTCCCCCTGCCCTCTAACACCCAATTTGGGGCTCAGGCCCAGTGTCCATGATTAGAGACACCCATGGACAACATGACCTTGTGTCCTCCCTGCAGATAAGATCCTTCCTACCCTTCTTCACAGAATCACAGAATCCTCTGAGCTGGAAAAGACCTCCAGGATCCTCGAGTCCAACCTGTGCCCCATCCCCACCTTGTCACCCAGCCCAGAGCACTGAGTGCCATGGCCAGTCCTTCCTTGGACACCTCCAGGGATGGGGACTCCACCACCGCCCTGGGCAGTCCCTTCCCACGTTTAACAACCCTTTCCATGAAGAAATTCCTCCTGATGTCCAACCTGAATCTCCCCTGGCACAGCCTGGGGCTGTTTCCTCTTGTCCTGTCGCTTGTTGCTTGTTAGAAGAAACCAACACCCACTCAGCTCCCCCTCCTGTCAGGGAGTTGCAGAGAGCACAAAGGTTCCTCCTGAGCCTCCTTTTCTCCAGGCTGAGCCCCCCCAGCTCCCTCAGCCACCCCTTTATGATTTAACTCTCTAGATCCCGAGTTTCCATGGAACATAAATGCCTAAAATCTGTTGAAGCCATGAACGTTCACCCTGATGCTGAATGGGGGTGGTGGGGCCTCCTTTACTCTCATCCTTGGGGAAAGGCAATAGTGTGAACCTCCCATTTCCCGGGATCTGCACAGAGGAGAGGCCTGGAAATGAGAGAAAAACCTTCCAGAGCTCTGCAATTCCCTCCTGGGTGCGGAGCAGCCGAGCGTGAGCCCCGAGCCCCCGGGGACACCAGGCCTCATTAGCCTGGCACTCACAGCTCTGCTCAGGAGACATCCCAACTGCAAGGCAACAAAACAGGCCTTTACCCACCTCCCCTCTACAGCTCCAACACTACCACAGGACTTTACTGTGAAATCAGAGGTCTTTTAAGTAGTTTCCTTAATTTGACCTCAGAGGGAAATTTGCTGCTTTCGCTGGGAGGTGGAACCAGGAGAGAGAGGATTTTTTTTCACCATCTGATCCAACATCAGCAGAGCTCACTGAACACACAGCCACTGCCTGACCTCAAAAATAAACTCAACCCTCATTTTTACTTAAAAGATGCCTTTAGACATCAGATTACAGTGGGCTCTAAGCAGATATTTACTGAAAAATATCAAAGCTGTGAAGGAAAGAAGTCCTGAGGCAAGAAAAGCTGAGGGACTGTGTTGTACACACTGAAGTGCATCACTCTCAAAATTAAGATAGTAAATTTACCTGTCCTCATTACCCAGACAGAACCAGCCTATCAGTCAGCAAGATTACAGACACATCTTAGAGTGGTTTGGGTGGGAAGGGACATTAAAGCACATCCAGTTTCAACCCCCATTCCATGGGCTGGGACACCTTCCACTAGCCCAGGCTGCTCCAAGGCCCATCCAACCTGGCCTTGAACCTGGCTAAGGTTAGATGGGATATTGGGAAGGAATCCCTCTCTGTGAGGGTGGGCAGGCCCTGGCACAGGTTGCCCAGAGAAGCTGTGGCTGCCCCATCCCTGCAAGTGTCCAAGGCCAGACTGGATGGGGTTTGGAGCAACCAGGGATAGTGGAAGGTGCCCCTGCTCATGGTAGAGGGTTGGAAATCTTGCAGCAGCTCTTGAAGGGACTGTTTCAAGCTGTTCATTGATCACAGAATGCAAATAAAATAAAGCAAGATGGACAAACAAGCAACCAGAGCAGCACATTTAAGCTCCCAGGTGGGGAAACATCACTTAATAAAGGAGTTTTGTGGGCAGCACCAGAGCTGGAAACCTTTATTGTGCCTCCACAACCAGCACTTGAAGCACTCACTGTGTTGACACAACAGAACGTGGCTCAATTTCAAGCACTGTTGAGGTTGAGTAATTTCAAACATCTTTTAATGTTTGTAGATAGTCCAAAGGGAAGTTGGCTGAAAAAGATCTCCAAGGCAGCCACGTGGAAATAAAAACAAACCCCTCTGAGTCATTACAGTGCCAGGCAGGAGAGAGGAATGGAGACAGAGGAGGGAAAAGGGGGAAGGTGAGGATCCAGACTTCTAGCTAAACTGCCTAAAGCATTTATTTATGTCCAGCACCCCCACTATAAGTTTATGCCTTGGGGAGCAATAATAAATCAATTCTATCAACCTGGATTGCTATTCCAAAAGGGAAATTTTAAGTGTGATCCGTACTCCTCTTCCCTCTCATGGCAGGAATACTCACATCAGAAGGAGGTCATTCCCTGATTTTCTTCTGAGTAGCAAGAATGTTGCATGAGAAATCAGATAAGACATTAATACAGCTGGATTTATCCAGAATATTACACACCAGGGCATCAGTGCTTTTAATGGAAATCTGGGAAAGGCTGCAGATAAACCTGGGAAAACAGGCAGCCACTCATCTCCAGAGCTTCCCCTGAACTCCTGAGGTCAAGGGAGAGCCCTGTGGAAGTCTAAATTAAATTCAGAAAGGACAAAATCAGCTGCTCAGGGTTAATATTAGAGCAGCTTCCAGAGGGGGATCCAGCAGCAGGGCTACCCTGTGCCAAGGGGTGTTCCAGGGGGTTAGAGAGGCTTTTGGGGAAAGGTGTGGGCAAGCCAAGGCATGGGAATGTGAAGGACCTCCAGCAGTATATCAGCATCTTCTACATCAAATCCACAGCTCAAATTGGGTTCTTTGAATATACAGAAGGAGCCTGAGAGGAGCAAAAGGGCTTTTGGGATATTGCTGGCTGCTGAACATCCCAATTTTAACAGAGTTTATTCTCCAGTTCACAGGTATTACAGAGAATCGTGGAATCACAGAATTGTTCAGGTTGGGAAAGACCTTTAGGATCATCAAGTCCAACTGCTGAGGTCAAGCCAATATCCCAGCAAGGAATTTCAGGGTAAAACCAAACCAGCACTTGGGGTTTGTGTGGTTTTTTGGGCACTCATATTACCAGAATTCAGAATAAGGAGATCTGTCCCAAGAACATCCAGGGAAACACACCTATTTCTGGGTATCCAATTAAAACAGGGATCCTCTGCAAACATGTCCAGGAATGCCACCAACACATCAGTTATTATGTCATGAATTCCTTCCCAATATTCCATCTAACCCTGCCCTCTGGCAGTGGGAAGCCATTCCCTGTGTCTTGTCCCTCCAAGCCCTTGTCCAAAATCCCTCTCCAGCTCTCCTGGAGCCCCTTTAGGAACTGGAAGGGGCTCTGACATCTCCCTGGAGCCTTCTCTTCTCCAGGTTGGACACCCCCAGCTCTCCCAGCCTGTCTTCATGGACATGACTCCATTTTTATGGGAAAATAAGTGGCAGCAGGACTGTCAGATTTGTTCTGAATCCAGGGATGGGGACAACTGTGCAGCTCCACCCTGAGCCATCGGGTCTGTTCCGGACATCTCTTCCTGCATCCCAGCTCCTCTGACAGCACCACTTCTAGGAAAACAAAGTTAAATCCTTCCTGTCATTTGCTTTCTTCAGGAGATGATTCCTCCCCTTGTACAGCTCCACACAGCTATGCCAGGATCAGGATGGTTCATGCTGCTGAAGTTACTCCTCCCTCCTAAGCCTGATCTGACACCTAAACACCCTGAAACCTTTCCCTAAGGGAATATTTTCCTCAGTGCAGCCCTCCAGAGCACAAACTACTCCTCCAAGGCCTTATTAATGTGCCATTTGCTCGTCCCCAGCAGAGGCGAGGAGCAAATCAGCACCTCTGTGGCTCTGCTGCAGATGCCACAGGGTTTTCCAGGCAGACAGACTGGAAGTGCTGCCCTGCTGGGACACTGCACTCCACATTCCGAGGATCACGATCCCGGCATTAGCCGGGGGAACGCTACCAACAAAGAGCTATTTTTCCAGCCTGACTTCTCCAGCTTCCATCATTTCACTTTTTGATGCAGATTCTTACTGTGAGGAAACTCATCCCTGCCCAGCTCACTCTGACACCACATCAGTTCCCACAAGGCTGTGACACGTGGATTTTTTTTCCCCTTCAAAAAAATGAGGAGTGGCAGCATTTTTGTATCACTCCTCTGGAAAAAACAGTGATCTTAACTCCCCCCCACTCCCAAAAGCTGGGGCTCATTTCGCAGCAGCTCCACTTTGTCAGGCCACAGTGAAGTCACAGATCAGCCTGGCACGTGGAAAAGGAGTTTTTAATGTGTCTTTAGGGTCGACGTTGCTGGGGGAGCAGAAGAGGATCTCTTCATGTTCAGGTTCCTCTACGGCTCTCTCCTGCCTGAATGCAAAGTAGTCTCAGCTGAATTTCCCTAATTCCTTCAAAGGCTCCCTTACACTCATCTCCCCAGATTATGCAGTAAATACTCTTTAGGAGAGCACTCTGTAACCCCAACAAGGCTGTGCAAAAAATAAGGCTTAACCAGCTGACCCCTGATTATCTTCAGCAGTTCACCCATCTGTCTCCCAACACACAAATTCCTGCCTCAAAGCAACGCTCCCTTAAGGTGTTGGAACTGGATGTTAATATTTACAGTGCTCTTTGGATACGTGAAAGTATCCAAACAGTCCCCAGAAAAATCTCAGTGAGGGCTGTGAATGCTTAAACCCCTCTTGGAAGTCACCACGTCCCAGGTGCATCACATTTAAGGAGCATTTCTGCTCTCAGGAGATAAATCAGCACCACCCCAGCAGGGTCTGACCCCCCACCTCCCACTTGCACAAGATCAGCCCAAATGAGACGAACCCAAACCTTAAATGTCAATTAACTCCCACATGGTGACTTTAGGAGGAATCCTTTCAATGGCTCTGCCTTTTGTAGTGACAGTGTTTACAAGATTTGGGAGCTGGGAAGAAAACTGGAATTGCTCAATGGCAGCTCTCCCTAAGTGCAGCATCCTGCAAAACAAGTGAAATTTGATACTAACAATGAGTTAATTGTTTGCCTGATGGCTCCTCCGGAGGTGGAGCATCTCCAAGATGCTGGAGCATCATCCTCCAGCTCCTTCCTGCCCTCCTCTTTCCTTGACAGCTCTGTAGTGATTCCACTGGGGATACAGGAGTCATGGTATCCACCAGGAAACTTAAGGGTTATCTCAAACCTCCTGGGGCACCACAAACTTGAATCCTGTCCTTCTGCTTCAGGTTATTTTGAAGTATCACCCACCTTTAATTGCAGTCAGGAGTTCACTCTGCCACCGACCAGAGAACCACAGAACAGTTTGTGTTGGAAGGAACCTGAAAGATCATCCAGTTCCACACCCCTGCCATGGGCAGGGACACCTTCCACTGTCCCAGGCTGCTCCAAGCCCTGTCCAACCTGACCTTGGACACTTGCAGGGATGGGGCAGCCACAGCTTCTCTGGGCAACCTGTGCCAGGCTCTTCAGACACTGCCACATCTGGAGACTCAGGGAGGAATTTCAGCTGTTCCAGCTCTCTAAAAGTGGTGTTTCACCTTTTCCAGCCTGGTATCCAGGATATTTAACATCCAATACAAACACTGCAGGCAGCTTTTGCATTTCAAGGGCTTCCACTGAGTGCAAATTACAAGTCAGCTCTCTTTAGGACCAAATCTGTCTCACTGTGCATTTGAAAACACCCAGAGAAATCCTGACCCTGGCAGGGGCTAGAGATTGTTTTGATTAAAAGAGGGGAAAAAATGCACAAATATACCTTAAAGAAAGGGGAAGATGGAGCAGGAGCCTTCAAATGGAAACAGGGATAAAAAATCAGAGGAAGAGGAAACCACAGAACACCACTCTGGGAAACAAAAGACCTGCAAGAGGCTGGTTGTGGCTTTGATTAACAATCCTTGCTCAGGGCTGGAGCAACAGGAGCATCAGTGAGCAGAGCCATCCCTGGGAGTTGTTGAAGGAAAGGAGGAGCTGCTTTCCAGGAGGGATGAGCTACAGGGACTCTTCACACACCTGATATCCGTGAGGAAAGACAGTGGAGCACTTGCCTGTGGAAATGAATCTTGGCTCAGGAGTGAGACAGTGCTGGGAGAGTGGGAGAAGTGCCTACACCCAATTCCAGAGCCTTAACCAGCCTAAGAATAGGTGAATAATTTACTGGCTTTCACTCTGAATATTTGGAGGGTTTTTCATTTCAGGGGAAAAGGAAGATGGAAACTCCCAGCAACACATGGTGGGGCATCCAGCTGGTTCATAAAGAGCCATGGACCTTATCTTGCACCTCCAAATCCCAATGAAGCAGCTGGATCACGGATAAAACAAACCACATGAGGTGTCACCTCTCAGCCTGAGGCCACCAGTAGTGTAAGAGGGGGATGGAGTGTACTTGTAACCACCCAATAATGAGTATTATAAAACTCCTGGGTATAAAACTCATGATCTGTCCTCCTGTAAGGAAACTTTGGGATATCCCTGGAAGTGTTCAAGGCCATGCTGGATGAGGCTTGGAGCAACCTGGTCTAGTAGAAAGTTCCCTGCCCACAGCAGGGGGTTGGAATGAGATGAGCTTTAAGGTCCCTTCCAACCCAAACCATTCTGGGGTTCTGTGGCACAACAAACCCAATTCTCTCCCTCCATCTTGAATTAAATCTAAGCACGAAAAGAGGCTGCAATTGGGTGGTGATACATTCAAGTGCCTGTAAAGCATTTTAGGATCCTTCAGGAAAAATGCTAAGTGTCTGCTCTGTAATTCAATGAACGTTAATATATTCATCACAGATTTCGACTCTCCAATTACACGGGGGAAGAAACCAAGAAAATTGGTGCTTGCTGAAATGTTACGATGCCAAGGGATGGAAGCGGTCCAGGATCTCGGAATATTCACCCAAGTTTTGCACGGGATGCAGTGAAAGATCCCACCAGAACACGCACAGAGCCTGTGTGATGTGGGATAAGCAGCGAGGCCACACTCAAGGCATGCTTTGTTTGACCTGAAAGTGCCAAAAAGACAAGCCGGATGCTGCTTCACCTTTCTGTGGTTGCTAAAATTTAAACCCAGCCTTCCTCTGTGCTCCCCCGGTGAGGGCTCTGGTCCTGCTTGCCAGGCAGAGCCGAGTTAATCCTTCCTCTCGCTCATTTTTCACTCTGTGCCCTTCTGAAATGCTGCACCTGAGCTGCCTCTATGCACCAGCAGCTTTTGCCTGACACGACCTCGTGAGGACAGGGTTGGGGACCACAAAGCAGGAGCACTTGCCCTCTTTTCCCAGCACACCATTCACTGCTACTCCTTGTGGCCTGGGAGGTGTTTTTGTTCGCTGCTGAGCACGTAACTGCTCTCCTTTGTTCAGGCTCTTCAGCCTCCCCTCGAACAGGAGAACCCACTGCCTTCCCTGTGTGCTCAGACAGAAAGACTCTCAGCAATGTCGTTCATTTAACGGGCTCGGAGCTATTTCAGGAGGTGCTAAATTAGGGGAGTGTTTGAAACTCGCTCCCCTCAGCAATCAGCGCTCACACACCTCCTGCTTTTACACCTCGGTGGGAAAAAATACATCCCTGCTGCAGCACGTTCCATGGGGGAATACTCCCTCTATAATCCCCCTGCTATTTTCCCAAAGTAGCTGCCAAAAGTTCTGCCATTCTTTATCTCCCCCAGCACACTGGGTTTCTAAGTGACTATTTAAACAAGTCACTTCAGAGGGCTGCTGGAGCCAGGCTGGGAGAGCTGGGGGGGTTCACCTGGAGAACAGAAGGATCCAGGGAGACCTCAGAGCCCCTTCCAGTGCCTAAAGGGGCTCCAGGAGAGCTGGAGCTGGAGAGGGACTGGGGGCAAGGGGGATGGAGGGACAGGACAAGGGGGAATGGCTTCACACTGACAGGGATTAGATGGGATATTGGGAAGGAATTGTTGGCTGTGAGGGTGAGTGAGGCCCTGGCACAGGTTGCCCAGAGAAGCTGTGGCTGCTCCTGGATCCCTGGAAGTGTCCAAGACCAGGTTGGACGGGGTCTTGGAGCAACCTGGGATAGTGGGAGGTGTCCCTGCCCATGGCAGGGCAGTTGGAATGAAATGAGATTTAAGGTCACTTCCAAACCAAACCCTTCTGATCAATGATTTTACGACCTCTGTTACAAACCTCCTGTTTTCCTGCCCTGCTCCCAATAACACACCTCACCCTGGCAGCTGGAGCGCTGCCAAAGGGGCTTTGAGTGCCTTCACAGGAGGGGCAGGAGAAGCACTTCAAAGTGCAAGTGTTATTCTCCAGCAGTGAAGCACCCTCTCCTCCTGCCTGGAGCAACAGCAGCCCTTCCATTCCCCTGGTTTCTAACAATATCTTCCTCCTGCTGCAGAGTTACAAAAAGCCCGACCCGAAAACCAGCTCTTAAAACAACTGTCAGCAGTTTTTAAAGCCGGTTAACTAGTGACTGGAAGGAGAAGGAGAACAAACTGGCCTTGGAGGCAAACACCAGTTCAGCTCCACTGGGCCACAGAAGCTAAAACACTAAATAAAAAGGCAGGTGCACATTGGCGAGCCCCGGAGTTGGCTGGCAAGGCATGGGGTTTGCTGGCACATGGATGGTTGCAATGGACCTTCCTGTACAGAGAAGAGCAAGACAGAGGGACTCCAGTTGCTCCATGGGAGCTGTCAAAAACCAGCTCTGACCTGGGGAGAAGGAAGAAGAGGATGTGTCTGCTGGTTACAGGACAAAATGCCGCCTCTAAACCAGCAGCAGTCGCTTAGCCAGCTGTGAGCCAAACCCAGAGAGGCTCCAGGAGCTGAGGAATACACAGCCCTGCTTAGAGCTCAGATGGAACCCCCACTGGAGATCCTGGTAGATCCCAACCTGTAAAAACACTGCTAGGTGTTTTTTTCACACAGGCCTGGAAGGACAGGACAAGGGGGAATGGTATCAAAATGACAGAGGGTAGGGTTAGATGGGTATTAGGAAGAAATCCTTCACTGTGAGGCCCTGGCACAGGCTGCCCACAGGATCTGTGGCTGCTCCATCCCTGGAAGTGTCCAAAGCCAGGATGGATGGGGCTTGGAGGAACCTGGGCTAGTGGAAGGTGTCCCTGCCCATGGCAGGGGGTTGGAACTAGAAGATATTTACGGTGCCCTCCCAACTAAAGCATTCCATGATCCTGGGAGTTGTCACAGGAACTGGATGCAACCATTAAAAAAGTCTCTGGAAACAACACACTCAGATGGACAACGCTGGACCAGAACGAGGTAATGATGCACATCTGGAACAGGGCTGGAGTGTGTCAGTGGGAAGGGGAAATGCAAAAGCACAGGCTGCATCCCTCCTGCTCTGGAGCAGAGAGAGTATCTGCCCATGTGCCACCAACAATGCATCCAGCATTCCTGTAATTTCAATACTCTCGCTGGCAGGGATCCAATGACAGTTGTGTGACCTTCATTCCCTCATTGCCCAAGTGTGTATTTCACAGGCTTACACATCACATACAAACTGCATTTCATCACAGCTAATGAAAGCAGAGGAACAATTTAAGAACTCCAGTGTTACCATTTTTTTTCAAATGGTAGATTAAACCAAGAAATCACTGTCTAATTTTTTTTTTTTAAGCACCGGTGCATTTTGCACAGGATTTGAGAAGTGAGGAGGTGAGAGTTTGAAAATGCAAATTCCTGAAAAAACTGCTTCAGAGGTTTTCCCAGAGTTAGGTTGCCCAGTGAGGTTGTGGACTCCCTATTCCTGGGAGTGTCCAAGGCCAGGATGGAAGGAGCTTGCAGCAACCTGGTCCAGTGGAAGGTGTCCCTGCCCATGGCAGGGGGTTGGAATGGGATGAACTTTAAGGTCCCTTCCAACCCAAACCATTCTGTGATTCTAAGAAACACAGCAGGGTTACAACACTTTAACACCTGATTACTTTTTTGATGTTGTTCTCAGAAAACATTTGCAAAAATGGCCATTCAGGATCTCATCTTTATTATCCCAGTACCATCAACACCACAGAGATTTTGCCTCTCAGTAAATGCAGAGTATAATATTGAGATGTTTTACAGCTTCGAGCCTGGAAAGCCATTTCCATCTTAAGAGCCTCGAGAAGCAATAAATCATAACATTTCAGACAGGAGTTGTTTTTGACTCAGTATTACTGAGTTAAATTACTTGTAGCATTACAGCAGAGTAATTCTGTGTGCGAGAAAGGAGCAGCAGCACTTTGGTGATCAGTTTAGAGGGATATTTGTGCTAACGAGGAAATTTAAGCTCCATTCCAGTGCCAGAAATCCGGAGCCTTTAGCAGTGTATCCTCTGCTTCCTCCAGGGACCAACCGGGTATCACTCTCACATACTTCTCTGGAGTGATGAAAGCACATTATAGGCTGATAAAAAGCAATCCATGGTATTTTTTACAGGTCTCCAAAGATCAGCAATTTATTAAAAAGAGCTTTTCAGGAACCTGGCAAAAACACACCGTTCCTCGTCAACACCTCGCACCAAATGCATCTTGCCTTAGATAAATTCCCAGAGCTGGAACATACAAAGTCACTCTTCCCTAATTGCTGCTCGTTTGCATTTGCAAATTCCAAGTGGTGATGCCTCCTGAAGTGGTGTTGCCTCCTCGCTTGTCAGCAGAGATTTATCAACCCCCTTCCGTGTCCAAAGGTCACACAAGTAAATCAGTAAATCCGAGTGTGCTCCGAGCAGGAATCCAGAAATCCCTCACTCCCCACCTGAGCTGTCCCATCCATAGCAGTGCACACACCCGGGATGACACAACACAGACTAAACCAGCTTAAATAATGAAATACAAAACTGTAATTATCAAATAAAAGAACAAAGCAGCTCTGAGAGCTCTGCCGTTCTTTATCCTCCGGTGACTTATTCGCAACAGGCCTCGCGGGCACTGCTGTGAATTAAGAGTAATGAGGAGATGCTCCAGGGCTTGGTTAAAGGCTACTGCATCCAGCTGTGCATCTGTTGTTAGAACACAAAGAAACCACGAAAAACTGAAGGGCTGATTCTCACTTCCCACTTTAAACCACCCCAGCAGTGTAAATGTGAGCATAAATTACACCCACACCTCCTCTAACAGCAGCCTGAATGAGCTGGAGTGAAAAGGCTGATCCAGCTGAAGATTTCCAGTTAAGAACTAGAGGAAACACGGAGTGCAGATGTTTTGTTGCCTCGTGCCTTGTGCAAGTGCTGCTTTCTGTGTGTGCTGGAATTGCTCAGCTCTCCTTTGAGCAGCACCTGGGAGCTGGAGATGCTAAAAACCAGGCACGGAAAACACGGAAATGCCCAATAAACGAACCATCCAAAAATTCCCTTTACTGTGTCTGCACCTTCACTGGGATAAAAATCTCTCTCCCGGCCCACCTGCTGCTGGGAAGCTCTTGGATTCATCCACACAGCTGAGAAAAGCTTAAGCCAAGTCCCTCTGTGTGAAATCAGGTGAAATCAGTTAAATCAGCCAAGTCAAGTGGAATAACCAGGCGAGGAACTCTGCTCCTTCCTGGAGTATCCTTATCCATCACGGGTCACAACACTTGACTTCAGGCCCGTTATTCCTTTGGCTTCCCAGGGCAACTCTGCAGACTGAGTGACACCTCCAGTCTGCACTGACCAGGGTCACCACCTGACAATTCACCCCTTGTGGGATGGTGTCACCCCAAAGGCCCTGAACAACGATGGGCTGGCAGGGATGCAGGAGGTCGGAGCAGAAGGAAAAGCCTGGCACAAGGACCTTGCTCTGATGTCTTCCCAAAGGTGCTCACTCCAGAACCTGGCTGACCTTAACTTAGCGTTAATATCAGCTTTTTCACGTTGTTATATTTTTTAAACACATAAAAATAAAAATAGAAGATGTACCTGTGCAGCTCACACGCCACATGACCCGACAGCAGCGGGGCAAGTTCAAACCACTCTGTGATTTATTACCTCTGGAATGTCTCACATCTAAGTCACAGAATCAGGGAATCACAGAACCAGCTTGGGAAAGACCTCCAAGATCCCCAAGTCCAACTGCTGACCCAGCATCAACACCGTGTTCACCACTAAAACATGTCCTCAAGTGCCACATCCAAGTGTTTCTTGAACACTTCCAGGGAGGGTGACACGGACATCCTACTCCAGAAGTCACAGTTTTCCAGCCTTACAGTCCATAAAACCTTATTCTCTACTAATAATCTCTACCTTATTCTGTGAGGGTGGTGAGACACTGGCACAAGTTGTCCAGGAAGGTTGTAGATGCCCCAACTCAGGAAGTGTCCAAAGCCAGGTTGGATAAAGCCTTTGAGCAACCTGGTTTAGTGGGAGGTGTCTCCACTCAAGGCAGAGGGGGTTGGGACTGGATGATCTTCCAACTTCTTAACATTCTATGATTCTATAATTCTTTTTTTTTCTTTTTTTGAGGGTTCTGCTACACCACTGGGACTCCAGAATGTGGCATCTAAGCCTGTTATAGTGGACTGAAAGAACAAAAAATGTCAAAATACACATTCCAGGATGATCCTACCACACTGGGTGGGGTGGTGTCACAGTGTTTTGGTACAGAAAGATTTTAAAAGCTCATTTTTTTAAATTACACTGCGATGCTGAGAGCTGGGGGCACTGAGTGTTTCACTCACAGCTTTAATTCAGTTTTGCTCTGTCTAAAAATAAGGAAGCAGCACATTAATCCCAAATCCCGTAAACACAGACTTGTAAACACTCCCCACCACCCTCCTCACCCATGCTGGGGAGGGCTGGCCCGTGTTTTCCAAGCCTGTTTGGAAGCAGATGGCAGCCACATAATTCGGATTCGCTGCAATCTGTTGCTGGTTGAGGGGGGGAAATCTCGACTGCCTCTTCCTACAAATGTAAAACCTGGGAAGTTCAACCCACTCCGTAGTTTTGTTACATGTTTTGTAACAGTTTTGCCAACAGCCCCAGCCCTGCTCAGGGAGAACACATGCTCCTTGTTCTCAGCCTCAGCTCAGCAGTGAAAAAACCCCTCGGATGGCTCTGGGAAGGGCAAGTTGTCGATTTGCTCAGCTCTTAGTCTGGCTTTGCCTCCTGCACACGCACCCAGCACTCATGACATGATACAGGGAGGCTGAGCCACTTCACCCACCCTATTTTTGATCACAGCATCCAAGATCTTGTGGAACACGCACATACAGATTACAGGGAAATGCTTTTTGCCCCCCCACCAAAAAAAACCCGACACTGGCAATCTGTTGATGAGCTCCCTCTGCATTGGTGAAGTTTGTCTTGAAGGGCACAAAACTGGACGAAGGATTTTGTGGATCCCAAGCAAAGGGGGTCAAGTCACTTCCCTCTGCCTACAGGTTGTGCTGCTGCCTAAAGAGCCTGGGATGTTGGTGGATTCACTTGTCCAGGGAAGGGAACGGAGCTGGGGAAGAGTTTGGAGCACCAGGAGCAGCTGAGGGAGCTGGGGGAGCTCAGCCTGGAGAAAAGGGGGGACCTTCTCCATCTCTGCAACTCCCTGACAGGAGGGTGGGGCCAGAGGGGGAGGTTGGGCTCTGCTCCCAGGGAACAAGGGACAGGATGAGAGGAAACAGCCTTAAGTTGTGCCAGGAGAGGTTTAGAATGGAAATCAGGAACAATTCCTTCCTGGAAAATGGTTCTCCAGCTCTGGCTGTAACATCCCATCTTAGATACAGTGGGAGACAGTTTGGAAAGCTACAGCCAAGGTAAATCACAGAACAGAATCCCAGAATGGTTTGGGTTTGACAGGACCTTAAAGCTCTCACCCTGTTCCATGGGCAGGGACACCTTCCACCAGCCCAGGTTGTTGCTGCTGCCACCCACTGTCCTCCCCTCACCCACACATCCAGTCACTTGAACCTACAAGACCATCAGGTTGGTCAGGCACGATTTCCTCATGGTCAATCCATGCTGACTCTTCCCAAGCTCTTTCTTTCCATGCACATGCCTAGAAAATTGTTCCAAGAAATTTGTTCCCAGGGGTCCAAACAGAGCTGACTGCCCTGTAGCTCCTTGGATTACCCTTGTGGACTGAGGAATATGGGTGCAATATTTGCCTTTCTCCCATCTCTGAGGGCCTCCTCCAATTTCCATGGATTTTCAGAGCGGCCTTGCTTTAACATCAGCCACCTCTCAGCACCTGCAGATGGAATCCACCAGGTCTCACGGACTTCCCAGTACTCCCTGACTCAACTCTTTGCTGCTGATGATGTTCCTCTGCGTCTCAAACACCTTCAATAATCACAGAGGCCAAAGCACAGGAGTAGGTGTTCATGGAATCATTTAGGTTGGAAAAGTCCTCTAAGATCATCAAGTCCAACCATTTAACCAGCACTGCCAAGCCCAGCACTAAACCACGTCCCAGGTGCCACATCTACACAACTTTTAAACGCATCTTGCTGTCCTTCACATCCCCTTGAGACCACGAGCTCTAGGTGAGCTCTGGCTTTCCCAACACAAACCCAACAGGCCTGGATGGTGTTTCTAACCTCCAGAATCTGCTTCCACCTCCTGAGCATTCCTTTTTTTTGCATATTGGAAGCAAAATGAACCCCACTGCTCTGTTGTGCCTCTAGCAGAGATCGTAACACGACGCCTCCGAGCGAAAAACCTCTTCAACCCCGCTCAAAACTCAAGGCTTTGATAGTTCTTCTCTCCAAGCATGAAAAACTGGACAGTGCTGCCAGTGGTTAGTTAAGACCCTTCACAGCAGCCTGTAAATAACCCTGGCTTGACACAGATGCCAGTGGTCACAAAGCTTCAAAGTCCTTCTTCAAAAGTGACCAATTTTATTTGACTGGGTTTCTCAGTGCAGGAATGAGTTTTGGAGGCTGATTCCATGTGATACAATCAGGATGTTTTAGTTCCTGGAGATAAGTTGACACTTCTCCTCCCACCCCCAGCTATAAACTTGAGAAGCGTGACACAGATTTCCTACAAACTTACAAATGTTTGCTTGGCTGTTTCAGAAGCCTCAAAGTGCCTCAACTGGAGGGTTTTTTTTATAAAAATAAAAATCACTAACCTGAAGTTACAACATTCCTGTGACCCCTGATGTTTATAAACACTAAATGAAGCTGTCAATGAGCAAGTTCCTATTCTCACCAGCACAGAGTTGCTTTGCTTGTTTTTTTTTGTTTTTTTCTCCTGGGAAGAAATGCAGGACAAAAATCCCCTCAGCTGTAAATCCCCCCATCCCAGAGTAACAGCAGACACTACACAACAGCCCCCCTCCTGTCAAGGAGTTGCAGAGCCAGAAGATCCCCCCTGAGCCTCCTTTTCTCCAGGCTGAGCCCCCCCAGCTCCCTCAGCTGCTCCTCACAGGAAGGGTGGAACGAGGTGATTCTGCTCCTGTGCCAAACCTGGCTCTGTCAAAACCACCCTGCAGACCATCTGCAGCATCAAGAGCACTGAAAGAGCTGAACCAGGGCCTGCTTTCTCCTTTGGGGGTGGTCTGGCTGCTTCCCTGGGGTTTTATGTCACCACTTGAGGGACTGCCTCAGATGCTGGACCAATGTCCACCCTCAGGGTCCATCCCAGTGCATCAGTTCTGTCCCTGGCGAACCAAACCTGTGTTAAACCCGGTACAACTGTGGGCTTCAAAATTATGTGCCAGCTCTTGACCCATCACATCATCTCTGAGATGGTGCCAAGATCAGGGGATGAGTTTTAACATCCTGGAGCCAGGAGAGGGACTCCCTTCTGTCTCTCGGCAGTGCCACTGCACAGAATCCACCTCTCCAGGAGGACTCTTGGTCACTTCAGAGGTTACAGGTGCGGTTTCACAAGATTCATTTTCATGAAATGAGACTTTTATCCTCCTTTTTATAAACCACCTCATCTCACAGTACACTTCAGGTATGATATTAACTGTCCAAACCCACACCTTCCCAGGCAGGAATGTTAACAGGGAATGCTCAAGAACTGGAGGGTGATGTGCAGGGGGATGCAGAAGGATGTAAGAGCAACACAGCACCCTGCTCAGAACAGGAGACAAGCACGTGCAGCCACCTTTCACTAATGGGGAAAAAAACTTCAGGAAAGATGAATAAACCAAAGGGATAATTAAGAAGGGATCGTTTTTGAACCGCATAAAATCTGGGGGAAGATGTCAACACTTAGTCTTAACACCTCCTCCAACAAAGCCTTCCACTTTCAGCCTCTGTCACAACGTGCTGTGGATCAGTTTTCAAATCTTTTAAAGCAAAGTGGAGCTCTCCAGTCTCACACTACTCCCAGTACATTGATCCCAAGTATGCAAAAAACCAGCAGCCAGAATTATTAAGGGTGCTGGAAGCAGATGTTCTGTTGTAACTTGGACAGAAATTACAGTAGGTGAGACATTATTGCCCCTCCTCGGCCTAGACAGTACTAAGTCTGTGTGTCTATAGGAAAATGGGGAAAACCACAGTTGTCTGATAAGAATTCCACTACTTCGGAATGAAGTTTGGGGCAGATAATGCTGTGGAAATTCCATTTGTTTCAGTAATCAAATCTCCCTCTCATCACCTCACTGCTATCAGGCTTCTGATATAAAACTGACATGATCGTTTCTAACAGTGAGGAAAGTCTGCCTTTTAGCACAGCCCATCTTGTCCTCTTTTCCTGCACTGCTTCAGACTCACTCATTAATACAATCTAATTTTTTTCCCCATATAAATACTCCTTCCTAGGAAAATAAATTCCAGTGTTCAGGTTAATCAATATAAATAGAGTGAAAGACACAAAAACAGTATCTAAAGGGACAAAACCTCTTGTTTTTTCACCTGAGAGGATCAGGCTTCCCACTTATTTCTGCCTGAGAAGAAGTTGTCCCCAACATCCTGTCACAGAGCACTGACACAGAACTGCTCAAAACCCACCTGGCTGAAAAGACAGCAAAAAAAAAACCCCAAACCCTTAAAACAAAAGCTCAGACGCCTGGAATTTCCTCTTAACACCTCTTCAAGCATTCACTGTTCACTGAGCCTTTCATTTCCTTCTCAAATAACCTCCCACTGAGTTAAACCAACACTATCGCACAAAATCTCTGTAACCAGCAGACACAGGGAGCTCCCAGAGATCCATGGAACACGTGGAGATCCATCCCACCCCATCCCACAGTGCCATCTGAGCTGGGATCAGCAGCTGCAGGAGGAAAACCAGAGCCCTGGACTCAGATTATGGCATCGGTTCTGCCAAAGACTTAGTTGGAAAAGAGGAATGTCCTCAGGGATGGCCAGACCTGTGAGTAGAGGGGTGATGGAGCTCAGTGAGAAATAATCACAGAGTCATTTAGGTTGGAAAAGACCTCCAAGATCACCCAGTCCAACCTTTGAACAATCACCACCTTGTCAGCTGGAATAATTGGTGTCTCCTGGTGAACTCACTTGTGGACTCCCTGACACAACGTGGCAGCTTTTACTCCGTGGGGACTGGAACAGGTTTTTCTCTTCCCTCTGCTTTTCATGGACTCTGCAAATATTTGTTATCTGTAAAATCTACACTGAAAAAATCTGGTTGAAGTGGGTCAAATCCAGAAGTTACTCCAGGGACAGGCTCTGTGTCTCCTGAACACATCAAACACCACAATAATTATCAAATAATTTCATAGAAACACAGAATCATGGAATGGCTGGGGTTAGAAGGGACCTTAAGGATCATTTTGGTCCAACACCTGCAATGGGCAGGGACACCTTCCACTATCCCAGGTTGTCCAAACCCCATCCAAACTGGCCATGGACACTTCCAGGGATGGGGCAGCCACAGCTTCTCTGGGCAACCTGTGCCAGGGCCTCCCCACCCTCATGGGGAAGCATTTCTTCCTAATATCCAATCTGAATCTAACATTCAAAAGAGACTAATTATCCAGTGCTTCATGCTATGCTTTTTCATGATTAAGCTGTGTTGATTTCATGATTCAGGACATCAAGACAACAAGCTAAAGATCACTAGAAAACACCAATCGGGTTTGCTCCAAAGTTTTTTAAAGCAGCAGCATAAACACAACCACTATTTCTTCTTAGTCACCCTGTTCTGCAGATATTTGAGGAAAACTAAATCCAACTGGCAAGGAGCAGCCTCACTTCTCTCCTTGTGCTGGAAGCTGTGTCCTAAAGCTCCTGTGACAGCAGGTGACACTGTGACAGCAGTGACAAAGCTCTCACCGGGTGCTGGGTTCGTTTCACTTCATACATCCTTTTATTTCACTTGACCGCAACACCCTCCTCTTCTGGTCACTCTGCCACAGTACAAACACAGCCTGGATCTTCCCACTCCAGCTCCCCCTCTGCCCCAAATCCTGGGCTTAGCTCTGTCACACACCCCTCCCCACACTCCAACTTGTGATTCCTTCACCATTTACCTCCCCAGGAACGTGATACCTTCCAAGTGCTTATTTTAAGCAGCTCAGAAGCTGTTCAGATCTGTGTAAAACAGCAAATCAACTCCCTGCTTCACTTTCTGCACCAAACTGGGGCATCCTTGGGATCTGTGAAGGGAGCACTGAAGATCCCACCTCCTCCTTCACACTCCTCCTGGCCTCCATCCTCCTCCTGCACTGCTGGTTTCTTTAAAGCTCACGTGGTCCAAGAGGACACCTCTGTCATGTTTCTCTGCCATGAGAGAATAGTCTTCTTTCCTCTCCTGCAGTTTTCAGGGGGGCAAAAGTTAAACAGGAATGTTTTGTTTCTTTCTAGTGAAAATTGCACAAAAATACAAGAAATTGGGGAATAAACTGGTTGTTCCTGAGGAACAGGCAAACCCACTGTGGGAAGGGATGTGCTTTGAGCCTGATCCCGTCCCACTGGGATGTTCAGTGATGCAGCACTATCTGAAGTGTACAGAGACATCCTGAGTAACCCTGTGTCATTCCACACCACCCCTTGAAACACAACAAGCAGAATATTCTTCTCTAAGCATATCAAAACTATGTAGAAACCCAGGAATCACAGAATCCATCAGGGAATCACAGAATGGTTTGGATGGGAAGGGGCCTTAAAGATTCCAACTCGTTCCACCCCCCTGCCATGGGCAGGGACACCTTCTACTATCCCAAGATGCTCCAAGCCCCATCCAACCTGGCCTTGGACACTTCCAGGGATGGGCAGACACAGCTTCTCTGGGCAACCTGTGCCAGAGCCTCCCCACCCTCAGAAGGAAGAACTTCTTCCATAGATCTCATCTAAACCTGCTCTCTTTCATTTTGATCCCATTCCCCCTTGTCCTGTCACTCCCTACTCTTGTGAACAGTCTCCATCTTTCTTATAGGATCCCTTCAGGTACTGGACAAATCAGGTCAACCCCAAAGCCCTTCTCTCCTCCAGGCTGAACAACCCCAATCCTCTCAGCCTTTCCTTGTAGGAGAGGTGCCCCATCCTTCTGGGTACAACTCAGGTTTGCCACCTCCCTCCCACCCCACTTATCCACTGCAAGTTATATGTGAAAAACCACTCGTGGCAACAAGACCCAGCTCCCTTCTCCTGCAATAACCAATCCATGCTCTGGCTGCAAGGTCGGCACATCCACAGGCTCTGGACTCTGCCAAGGCAGCACAAGGATATCACAACATGGACTGACAAAGGCTGACAGAAGACTTTCCCTGACATCCTCTGCCAGCTCTCCTGTGTGCCAAAATATCCAACCACCTCTATCCCCCTCCCTGAGGAAACAACCCCCAGCTCTGCCTTACCCTAATCCATGGACTGAGTCGATGTGCAGCACAGAGAGCAGGGCCCGGGTGACACCAACCAGCACAGGTCCGCTTTTACTTCAATTTTCAGCTGCTCTGGATTCCTACCTGGTGGCTGCTGAGCCAAACCTGCAGAGCCTGGCACTGGGAGCTGCATTTCTGCCTCCTCAGAAAGCCAGCAGTTAATGGCATTCAGGCTGACTCGAGAATCATGGAAATATCTTTATTAAGCATGTCAGGAAACGCAGCAAAATGCTGTGTCGAACAATTGGCCGTAGCAATGCTACTCAGCCCTGCAAAGCGAGCCTGGATCACATCTGATGTGTTACATAAAATATATGTCAGCATTTTCCTGGCAATAACAATAGAGCAGTTGTTGAAAAAACCTTAACACACTGCAAATAAAATATTTGGAATTGTGGTCACTGCGGAGCTTAACACACTCAGCTGGAGACTCACATGTCTCAATCCCCTTACAAAGTGCTGAATAAGGCCAGTTTTTAGGTATATAAATACACAGTGGTGAGTTTAAGGTCTTCCTATATATTTCAGGTATAAAAGACATTTTTATTTAGCTCTATCTATGCATTCCTGCATATAGGGATATGACCCGAGGTGCAAAAAATGGAGATGAAAGCAGGAAAGCAAGGCCAATGTGAGAGAGAGGATAAAGCAGCAAAGTTTTTTTATGAGGCTTGAAAACTGCTGAGATTAGTCAGGAAAGAAATCAGAAATAATAAAAAAGCAGTGGATGATCATACAAGGAGAGGGAAAGCACTAAATGGAGGGGATGGGGAAATGAAAAATATAGAAACACGAAATACAAACAAACAAATAAACCCAACCCCCTCCCAAAAAAAAAGAGAAGGCAGAGAAGAACTGACTTTTAAATGAGTTACAGAATTGCCTGGGGTCAGAGAAGAGCACCAGGAGCCAGGAATGTACCCTTGGAGCTCAAGCATGTGATTTCTCCATGGAATTCTGTCCAGCTGGAGCTCTGGATGCTGTCCTTGCAAGGCTTTGAGAATCCCCCCAGTAACTCAGCTCTCGGTGCTCTCACTGAAGCAGAAGCTGCTTTTGGCACTTTGGGGGATGGAGAATCCTCCAACTCAACCCAAACACAGCCCAACAGAGGTGACCTCCTCTGATTTCTTGTGATCTGATCCTACAGGACAGGAAAGAGGGAATGGCTTCCCACTGCCAGAGGGCAGGGTTAGATGGGATATTGGGAAGAAATTCTTGGCTGTGAGGGTGGGGAGGCCCTGGCACAGGTTGCCCAGAGAAGCTGTGGCTGCCTCATCCCTGCAAGTGTCCAAAGCCAGGTTGGACAGGGCTTGGAGCAACCTGGGCTAGTGGAAGGTGTCCCTGCCCATGGCAGGGAGTGAAACAAGATGGCCTTTAAGGTTCTCTTCCAACCTAAATCACTCTGGGATTCTGTGACCAAACCACTCTGGGATTATCAGTAAAAATCCCTCTGGCACAGCAAAATACCAAAACTCAACTTGACCTGAAAAGGACAGACAGGCACTGATTCAGCACCAGTTTAGATTAAATTCAACATTTCATATAAGTAAGGAAACTCCCAGGTATAAAAGACATTTTTATTTAGCTCTATCTATGCATTCCTGCATATAGGGATATGACCAACTTTTCCCACTGTGATATCTCAGGATCATCAAGTACTCAGGGCTAGACTAGAACAGCTGGAAAAGGGATGTTCTGGATATACTCAGCCCTCTGATGCTCAGTGACAGGAGCAGGACTGGGTTGGTGGCTGTGCTGTGTTTCAGGTACCTTTGAAGAGACTGACACCAGCAGAAACAAAGCACTTGCATTTCTGTGAGCTCAGTCATCCCAGGAGAGCACTTCTGAAAGGTTTAGGAAGCCTTTTGATTAGAAGGGAAATTGGAAATCCCAGCTACAGATCCCAGTACAGAGCAGGCGAAAACCTGCTGTCACCAAAACTACCCATTTCATTCTTTTTTTTTTTTTCCCACAGCTCTACCAGAAAATGAGTTACACAGAAAACCAGAGGAAAGGGAAGGAGGAACAGAGAGGACTGTTAGTGTGGTCTCACCATCACCTCCCTGCTCCAGGTAATTCCAGCTTTGTCCAGAGCTACCCCAGAGAAACCCCTGCTCTCACCTGTTCCATCTGTGATGTCTCTTCAGGGATGACGTGACTTGGTGCTGATTTTAATGCATCTCGACGCCTATCAGGGCTCCTGATCTCACAAGGTGCCCTTCCCACCCTTCCCAGCTTCCCTTCTTCCTTTAAAAACTGCAGCAGACAAGGATTTAGCCCTAAGCCCAACAGCTTAAATTAGTCACTCGTCCCACTGAAGGGGGTGTTCAGTCTGGAGAAGAGAAAGATCCAGGGAGACCTCAGAGCCTCTTCCAGTGCCCAAAGAGGCTCCGAGAGAGCTGGAGAGGGACTTTGGGCAAGGGATGGAGGGACAGGACAAGGGGGAATGGCTTTAAACTGACATGGGATGGCACCACACCCACTCAGAGGGGTTGAACCTCAGGAGCATTCCTTTGCTTTTGCTATAAAAAAAGAAAACCCCAAATAACCAAAAAGCTGGGCCAGTCCTGAGCCAGAACTGAGTGGCTGATCCTTCTCCCCAGGTCCTGCCTGCAGGGCTTTGCAGCAGGGACCCACCTCACAAAGACACTGGGATGTTAATAAATCTTGTCTGAAGGAAAGAATGGCTTTCAAACCCAGCTGCAGCATCCTGGGCAGAGCCCCAGCTTATCCTGGGATCTGACAGACCAGGAAAGGAGAGCAGTGGGTTCCACAGGGAGAGGAAAAAGGCTTGAGCAAGCAAAGCTTTACAGGAGCAGGAGGGTGGGGAGATCTGGCAGCCCCACTGGGAAGGCAAATTTGCTTTTCTTAAGATTATTTAGGGTCTCCCCCTAAATCTTCCTTGGCCCTGCCTTGTCTGACGCCGGCCCTGCCAGAGACACTAATTTTCCCTGCCCCATCTGTTTGGATTTACTTACTTCCTAATTTATCCAACGCCTAGCTCCATGGTGGCTAAGCATTTTAATCACAGTGATTAACACACTGAGCAAGAACAAAACAAAAATGGTTAATCAAAGGCTATTAGCAGTGTTTGAATGTCTCGGCGCCGCGTTTTACACATGAATGCTGGTTAACGATCATCTCCCCACAACACTTCCTACGGGTCCCTGATTTATTCCTTCCTCTGCCAGCTCGCAGTTTGCCACCACCACGGCAGAGATTTTGACCCATTTGGCACCGGGAGGACACAACGCTCTCCTGCAGGAAACGCTCGGGGTTTTCAGCCTGTCTGAAGTGCTCGAGGCCGCGAGCAATCACCAGAAAATCCTCGGGAGAACGAGCACAGTGGGACGGAGATGCGACCTAAGATGCTTCCAAACATAAAGAGGATCCTTCCCAAACCGAGGAATGGGACAGATCTACAACAAAAACCGCCAAGAACTGTCATTGTGAGATGTCTTAACTAGTGTTTGTCACACAGGGGTATTATTTACACACAAATACAAGGAGCTGAGGATTAATATAAGCCTGCACTTGCTCCTACAATCCTGCTCACCACCCCCAAAATTATTCCCAGCATCAAAACAGAGCCCAGTGCCCAACTGGAAATCAGAAACTCCCTGGGTGAAGCAATGTCAGCACACAAAAAGGCTCAAGGATTGCTCACAGGAAGCCAGAGGATGCCCTAATACCTGGCCAAAGCATTAATTTGGGAAGTCCAGGCCGGGAAGAACGAGTTACCTGGGCAGGGAAAGTGTCTTATCTGTGTTTGTAAAGCCCTGTGTAAATCAACAGCCTTGCACAAACAGGATTTAAACCAAAAATACAAGTGCAGCAAGAGGGTTTATGGCTTTAAGTACATCTCCAGTGGTTTAGGTTTCGAGCAAGGAGCAGAATGGTTTATTTACAAGTCACGGTTTCTTAAAGCAAAGCAGAAATGTGGGTTTGTTCGGGTGGTTTTTAATAGTTAATACAACTAAAAGCAGCCAAAAAAGTTTGGCCGCTCTTCCGTGTTTTGAATTCCGCTGCTTTCAACTGGTCCTTCTGTCACTGAGCTTTTTTTGAGGCCCCTTTGACCAAATAAGTTTTATTTTTCGTATGAAATAGGACACCAAGGGGCTCTGGTTCTGGGTTCAAAAGCCTCCAGTAAAAGCTGAATGCTGGGTTGTGGAATCATGGAATCATTAAGGTTTGAAGAGACCTCTGAGATCATTAACCACTATGTCCATAATAACCAGTAAGTCAGAAAATGCTCCACTCCCACTCCTGCACACAGACATTCATCTCCCTTGGGATAAAAAAGGGTCTCTTTGGTGCTGAGCTGGAAGGAATTGAAATGAGCAGCACAAAGAAACACCCCCTGTTCTACTCGGGTTTTTACCCCCCTTTTCCAAGCAAACACCACTTCAGGGACATTAATTATTTTGGCTCAATCTTTGCTTTGTTAGAAGTGTATATTTACAGCAAAATGGGCAGTTTTGGGGTTTTTATCTGCAGTTTGGGGTTTTCTGGATATGTGGAGACAGCTATCCAAAGTCCCAGGGCTGTGCAATTGAGGAGAGTCATCTCAAGATGGACCTCAATGAGCTCAGTCCAGTTATGTCTTCAGTCACTCAGATCCCTTAAAACAGCATTCCCAGCCACAGGAAGCAATAACCACACTGACCCTGCACATTATTCACTTAAAAAGCCTGGCTGGTAGATCCTTACATTGCCCATCCCAGCATTCCACCAGTTCTACTCCACTGTTTATTTATAATTTACTATCCAGGTGTCTCTGGGACAACTTAATACCCCATGATGGTCTCTCATCTCCTCCCTGCTAATGAACATAATAAATAACCACAGTGAGCATTAGAATCAATATTACACTCTGCTCACATCCTGGAGAACATGAGGTCTGTGGCTTGAAATCCTGCTGGAGATGAAAAGTCTCCCTGGGATGGGGAGTGCTCAGGCA